GAACTAAATGACAGCATCTACTTTAAAAAGAATTGATATTGTTATGTTTTGCTACTATCCCTACTTTTAATCCTATTCTGTAAGATTTCTTTTTAAAATCGTCTCTTCAGACCCTTTATTCTTATACCCTACTCTGATGGGCACCACAATTATTAAACTAAAACAATGTTAGATTCATTTCGATATGTTATTAAATAAAATACATCACTATTGTAAATCGTACTTTGTATTGTAAACAAAACATAAAATAAATTTAGCAAATAGAGACACATATCAGAAACAAATTGAATGTACATTTGGGGGCTCTTATTCTATACATAAATCAAGGCTACAAGAAAACTAATAGTATGACAGAGTTTTTCTTAAAATACGGCTACATACTAACCTGTGTATGGTCACAGTATAAATAAATAGGTACCATTACGCAAAAGTATCGATATAATCTCCTATTTAAAATTCAACACATTATCCTAAATAATCTATTTTAACAATGGATGTTTCCTCAGTTTTGTGTAAGGCTAAAGTAAGACGTCAGTATTTTGGCATTGGTTTTAGTTAGGTACAAGTAGAAGTACAAATTATCATGTTTTATAATTATCCGGGCGCGATTGACAGAGCGGCATTGACGCGCGACCACCAAGCGTAAGTATAAAAAGTGAGATACATGCAATGAGATTGACTTCTCTACCTATCTCTTTTGTGCTAACGTAGTAACGAAGATATCATCGTTTAATCAGACGCGCCGAAATTCCCAAAGGTTTTGCACATGCGCAATTAATTATATAACATAATTCGGCGGATAAACATTTAACAAACACTATCGTTTTCTATTTCACCATTCCATTAAACGCTGTTCATAAACACAGTCCTATTTTTTTTAAAAGACACTTTACGTAGAATTATATGAATCCATATTCGACTTGAAGAAATCATTAGCCAATCAAGAGACCAAGGTAACCCCGGGTTCCGGGCTCTAGCTAGGCTGACGGCAAAGTAGGAACAGGAGTTGATTTTAGTCAGTAAGGGTCTGTCACGACCCAGTGGTCGGAGATGACATTAGATGATTTCCCATAAAAAATTGTACCATTAATAAGCTGGCTAATCCCTAAAACTACACCTACGTAGAACCTATAATTAAATAGTATCGATACTCGTTAAATACTTGGTCGGCCCACCCCTAGCAACGGCAGCTATCTTATGCGAAATTTCGGATTGTAGATATGCACCTTTTTTCGTAGGTATTTCCAGTCCTTATATTTCCTATGTCAATGGCAAATACAAAAAGGTAAGACACAGAATGACAGTTGATATTGTTCTTTTTTTTCTTCGGTGGCAACTGAGTATTTTTTGCATTGACATAGGAAATATATGGACTTGAAATACCTACGAAACAAAGGTGCCTACCTACAATCCAAAATGTCGCATAAGATGGCTGCCGTTGCTAGGGTTGTGCCGACTAAGTATTTAACGAGTATCGATACAATTTGAGTAAAAGTTCTACGTAGGTATAGTTTTAGGGATTAGCCAGCTGATTAACGGTATTTTTTATGGGAAATCATCTAAAGTCATCTCCGGCCTTTTTCGGGACAGACCGTTACTGACTAAAATCAACTCCTGTTCCTACTTTGCCGTCGGCCTAGCTAGAGCCCGGAACCCGGGGTTAACTTGGTCTCTTGATTGGCTAATGATTTTCTCAAGTCGAATTTGTATTCATATAATTCTACGTAAAGCGTCTTTTAAAAAAATAGGACTGTGTTTATGAACAGCGTTTAATGGAATGGTGAAATAGAAAAAGATAGTGTTTGTTAAATGTTTATCTTTATATATGTGGAAAACCTGTGGGTATTTGTGAAGTGCTCGCGCACAATTTCGGCGCGTCTGATTAAGCGATGATATCTTCTAAACTACGTTAGCACAAAATAGATATGTAGTGAAGTCGATCTTATTGTATGTATCTCACTTTTTATTATTACGCTTGGTGGTCGCACTGGGATCGTCGCCAACGCCGCTCTGTCAATCGCACCCGTATAATTATAAAACATGATAATTTGAACTTCTACTTATGTAACTAAAACCAATACCAAAATACTGACGTCTTACTTTAGCGTTACACAAAAATGCGGAGACATCCATTGTTACAAAAATTATACAAAAAGACTGCAGATCTATGGGGTAATTCTGTGTACATTACAAGCTCTGTAATAACTATTGTAGCACCTGTATTGGCTCAAATCTTTAATAACTGTATTGACTGTGGTGTGTTTCCTGATCTTATGAAATGTAGTAAAATAATTCCATTATTTAAATCAGGTAGTACTTCTGACCCCACTAACTTTAGACCTATTTCAGTACTACCTACGTTCAGTAAAATTTTTGAAAAAATCATTTTAGATCAAATGCAAAGATTTTTTAATAGAAATAAATTATTACATGCGAAGCAGTTCGGATTTACAAGGGGTCGTTCAACAACTGATGCCGGTGTTGAACTTCTTAATCATATTTACGACGCATGGGAGGACTCAAGCGACGCTTTGGGAATATTTTGTGATTTATCCAAGGCGTTCGATTGTGTGCTTCATGATACACTGATCAGGAAGCTTTCCCATTACGGAATTAGAGGTGCATCTCTGGACCTTCTTACCTCATACCTGAGTGATAGGGTTCAGAGAGTCGAAGTAAACGGAATGGTTTCTGCCGGGTCTGTTGTGAAGATGGGTGTTCCGCAGGGTTCTATTCTCGGCCCGTTTTTATTTCTTATCTATATTAATGACTTGCCTTACCTTTTAAGGGATAAACACGAGATAGTGCTGTTTGCTGATGATACCTCACTATTATTCAAACTCAGACGACGACAATCATTAATTGACAATGTAAACAGTGCTCTCTCAGAAATAGTTCACTGGTTTGGTGTGAATAACTTATTACTAAACGAAACTAAAACTAAATGTATTAAATTCACAACACCAAATGTTAAACAGATAAAAACCAGTGTGCTTGTCAAGGGCGAGGAGTTGAGTCCTGTAGATACAACTGTCTTTTTAGGTATAACCCTGGACGCTAAGCTCCAGTGGGGCCCACATATAGATGGCTTGTCGAAGAAGCTCAGTTCTGCAGCATATGCCGTTAAAAAAATTAGAAATTTAACAGATATAGATACAGCGCGGTTAGTTTATTTTGGTTATTTCCACAGCATCATGTCATACGGTATTTTGTTGTGGGGGAATGCTGCTGACATCCAGTCTATTTTTGTTCTGCAGAAAAGGGCTATTCGATCAATCTATAATCTTAGTCCGAGGCATTCGCTCAGAGAATTATTTAAGGAATCTAAAATAATGACAGTTGCCTCTCAATATATTTATGAAAATGTAATTCACGCTCATAAAAACAAAAGCTTATTTAAGAAATATAGTGATATACATAATATCAACACGAGGGGGAAAAACAAATATGTTGTGCCTGCCTCCAGGCTTCAGAAAATAAGTAGTTCGTTTAGGTGTCAATGTATACGCTTTTACAATAAAATTCCTAGCGATATTCAAAATTTGAGCCTCAATAAATTTAAAAGTGTAATAAAGGCTAAACTTTGCTGCAAAGCATTTTATAAAATAAAAGACTACTTAGAGGACAGTCAGGCTTGGGAATGAGCCGCTGTAATGTCTGCACAGGTCATGTTGACATGTTTGTAACATAAGTTACACTTTTATATACAATTTGACATTACGTTTATTTTTTTTTTATACAATGACATGATCACCTATTGTGACATTTTTATTTTTTATTTGACATTTTTTTTATTTATTTGTTGACATTTTTATTATTTTATATTATTGTTAGTGTAAGGACCGTGTGAGACTTGTCGTGCTTTTTATCACCAGTCATCTGCGTTCTGACAGTTTGAGTACTTGCGCGACCCACCCAAATGTTCTTTTGATCGGTATTGTTCGTCGGACAACTCAACAGCACTAGCTATATGGTTGCAAACTGACACTTGCGTGCCTGTCTTCAGAACGGGTCCACTTAAACTGGTGTGGTTCTTTCCTCAAAAGACCACTACAGAATGAACTTGCACGGTTCTCTCACATTATGTTATTTTATATTGTCTGGACTTGAAAAGAGACTGACCTCTGAGTTTGTTTCGGCATTTCTTCTCAGAGTAGTCAGATAGGAAATGCCGGCTTCATCTAGTTTTTCACATATAATTTGACGTGTAAAAGTGCCGTTTTAAGGCCTATTTGCAAAAATAAATTCATTGTTTCATTGTTTCATTGTTTAAAATAGATTATTTAGTATAACATATGTTGAATTTTAAATGGTAGATTATATCGATACTTTTGTGAAATGGTACGTAACTATGCCATATTGACATATTATTGTAAACAACAATTTTTTACTAAAACTGTCTCACAGACAGAAATAAAAGTAAATATATATACTTTGGCAATAGATTAAAGTATCCGTGACATTTTTTTCTATCTATGTGGATTATTCTAAGTAATATTTGATGAAAACTGTTTACTAACCTATACAAAGACAATTGAGGTTGATTTTCGTTCTTTATTGCACCACACTGCACAATACAACACACAGGCATATTGTTTTTTTGTTTCACTATATATATTTGAAGTTTAAAAAAATGGTTCTTTGTAATTTACTGAAAAACCGCAATAATTTAAAACATAAACAACCATTTGACAGCACAACTACCATGAAACTCAGGTACTCTGAGCGCTTAAGATGGCGGACATGGCACTTACCTACAACTTTGCTAATGTCAAAATGATTTGTTTCCATATTAAGCAACAACTTAAATATTGTTGTCCCTTTTGTCTAATACAATTATTGCCTCAGAAAGAGTGAGATAAAATGATATTTCATAGTTTGTTTCATATTTCCCTCATATTTGTATAAGCATGTATACTTCTATAGTAACACGGCGCCTCTATATATTTTCTATCTCAATGATTTTTTGGCATTTGGGATGTGAAATGTAATGAAGGTCATTTTGAGGAGACAACTGTCAAAATAGTTGAAAACAATCGGTCAGTCTTTTGTTTGATAAGGGTATCAATAAAATTAGAAGCCGTTATAATAATAGTACTTGCCTACGTTTATTAATGTAATGTTCTGAAATAATTTACAGATACATGTAAATTATTAATTGTATAATATAACTCGTCTCCAAATAGAAATTACTGGAATAGGTGAGGTTGTTTCTTATTATTTATTAAATTTTTCACTTTTAATTAGGCACTGCTTTTGGAAGTCTTCATCCAAGTTTTGTGAGAATTTCTTTATTTTCGGACTTAAAGGTCAGAGGGTCTCCTCAAAGGCAACTTAAAGCAGCCTACAAATAACAAGATGGTTCAAAAACAAACAAACAATCTCAAGAAAAAATGTTAATAGTGATTTTTGTATTTTAAGTTTTAAGTTGTAAGTGGCCCATCACTTGCACTAGGTGATAAAATAATTATAAAATAGTGTTAACTTATTTCAATTAATTTAAATTTAGTTATTCAGATCATTGAAATTTAAACTTCTAGAGGTGTGTTATGATATGCAAGTTTTACCGAATAATATGATTGCATAATATACAAGTATGCTAAATTAACGACTAGCTGCTCCCAGTTCTATTATATTGACTACCAGTTCAATCACTGCTTGGTCTGTGCTGATTGTTGTGTAGCCTTTTCTGTTAAATTATTTTTTAATTCAAATCAGTAGTGGGATGGTGCAAATGTCACAGTAATACAGTTTTATTACTTGATTCAATTGTATTTACCCAAGAGCGTTACTTTCTTAATAGGAATTTAGATTAGTAGGCATGTACATAGTAGATGAGTGACATGGTGCATAGCTCTTTGGTCATTGCATATATCAGCAGGTCAATATTATTAACAGCATGTAAATTGCTAATGAAAATGTTTTGTTGTTTGTCAAGACTAACTTTTCGTCAGACAGAGGTAAATATTATTTGTGTTGTATTTTGTAATTTTAAATTCTGGTATCAATGAACATGGTGTATGTACCTACTTGGTTTCAAGATATTAAGCGAAAGAAAGAACTGCAGCCCGGGCCTGCTGCTGGAAATGGGCTGGGGTCGTTTTTGGTCAGTGAAAGCCTAAAGCCTTGAGAGAAATGTATTTCCGCACTCAAAAAAGAAGTTATTACTCACTGTCTGAAGTGGCGGCGCAACAAGCTGATATGGAACTTGTTGCGGCTTTGATTCTTGCACGAAACAACTCCATTCACAATATTCCACAAATTACTGTTCCGCATCTGAGTGTTGGTATGGTGTATCTGAAATTGTATATTTGTAAAAGAACCCAAGACACAGGATAAAATCCCAGTGTGATGCTATGTGTGTTCTTTATAAAAACATGAACAGTATAAAAGGAATGGTTGGTGTCCATACAAAAGAGATTGGGATTCATTTGTTAAATTTTGATAATAACACACAATATTTAAGACAGGCTTGTCTAAGATGTAATTCAATGAACACAAACACAAGACGGATTTAAATTTTATTAATTTCTAAGTTATTGCGACCCGCCCAGACATTGCACAGGGTGCAACCTATCCAAGAATATATCAAACTTTAGGGTTGAAAATTTTAAATGAACCCGAGCGTATGGCGCGTGGCATTCCGCACGCGCCTCAAAGAGCCAATAGACCACCACATATGGGGCCTTATAGGGCTGATGTACAGCCGGGGTTGCGGGATGAGTCACCGCGGTCTCGGCTTACAGCAGGAGTAGGAACGTGGGGGTTTTTAGTCAGTAAGAGTCTGCCACTCTGTCTCGCTTCCTGGGCGGGAGAAGTCATTTGATAATTTTCCCCTAACAAAAAAAGGGTTGAAATGAAAATAAATATCACTCCCTACTTTACGTGTACGGAGTCGTAGAGAGCCTTTGAATGAGCTGTTAGGTGGTTATAGATAAAAGCAATCTCACCAGTTACAAAGAGTAATAACAGTAAAGCAACAAATAATTTTCTTTTGCTGATTTTTATGGGTACCGCCGCTCCTATCCCTCTATCTCAGGGGCCCCCAAGAACAAGGACCAAACCTCTATTTTCCGGTACGGGCGGCTTACAAACCACGCCCAGTCGGGTACGACGTAGATTCGTTACGCTCTGCTGCAGTACAGTTGTCCGGTTGTATTCTCTGTCTTCTTATGTTGTACTAATCTCGCGCGGTTTCACCCGCTGCTTGGCTTGTACAGATCGTAGCGTGATGTTTTATAGCCTTCCTCGATAAATTGACTAACAAACACGAAAAGAATAGTTCAATTTGAACCAGTAGTTCCGGAGATTAGCGCGTAACGTTCTTTTTGAGCAAACAAATTGCTTAAAAATAATGTTATCACCCTTGTCACACGCCACTGTCACAAATACCTAATAGGTACTTCGTGACTGCTAGTGAGCTAGCGCATGTTAGATTATATTAAAAAAATGTGCAACACAGATTATTTTCTCTTGTGTTTATTATTTTAGATATAATTTGGTACTATGATAAAACAGCATTAATTTTATCGATTCATTCTTAAAAACATTTTATTAGCCACATAGAATAAGATAAAATTGGTTGGGTCGAATTTCCATATTCTACTCAACCCTCATACTCTTAATTCAACTCGAAATTATCATTGAATTGTATGCCATGGTTACAAATAGATCATCACAAAAAGACAACATCGTGACAAGAGCAGGTGATCAGAAGTTACGTAGGTAGTGAAAAAAAATTAACAATATCGAAATATTTATTTTATAATATTAGATGTTCTTCCGGAGTCAATTAATTTGCCCTCTTTTATTCACATAACTTATTTTTATCATAAATTATGGGCACTAAAAAACAAAGGCGTGTTTTTGGTCAAACTGATTTACATAAATTTACTTCGTCCTTACTTCGGTAGCAAAATATTCATAAAAATGTCGAGGTGTCCACTGTCCACGCCATAGTAAAAAGTAGACAGCAGATAATTAATACCTAGTGTTGTTCCTTTGGTTTGTGTCATTTCACCACAGAACATAAGTAGGTAGAAGTGCCCCTAAACTCTTTCAAAAGGAAAACCAGTGTCGCCAAACTCACACATTCGCAAATCAAATTATTCATTACACACATAAAAAACAGCTATATAATTGGGTAAAAAGTTGAAACGCAACTTCAGCAAATCATCTTCTTAATGTTATTAAAATTTGAGTCTTATAACAATGAGCGAAAGTCGGACCGGGCTTCGGAGAGAGGGATTCTTGTAAGACGTGTATAATTAATGTTTAACTAAGATTGCATAGAAACGTCAACGTTTTAACGCACGTAGTCGGCATTCGTCTGTAGTAGGCACGGGTTGTTAATCACACTGCCTATTGCGCAATTATTGTTGGAAATGACAAGATAATCCATAATATTATTACAACATCTTATAAGTCAAATGTTTGTGTTCGTTACTTCTGCGGTCTCGAAATGCTGGACGGATTTCAGTGAAGAGATTAACCTTTTTTCTATTTTCATGCAGTCGAACCTGCTGGCACCAGCTAATAGCTAGTAAAGACAATAGAAAATATTGTAAATCTTAATGACACATCAATGTAAAAAGCAGTTTAAATGTTTCAGTTTTTCTCAAGATCCTTTTACTTATTGAGGAAAAATGGACAGAAGCTACGGGAAGACAAATAAACTAACTACATAAATATACCCTTGCATCACTTATTAAAATTAAATATAAAACAATCAAAACGGCAATTATTAAATAAATACCTATGTATTATTTCATGGTCAATAAATATTATGAACACTACTTATATATTATTGTTTCATTGAACAATAGCTTGTACCAGCGGCTTCACTCGCATAAAATTATTAAAATGTATAACACTGCTAGCAGTGTTATAGCACTTAAGCATACTGCAGCTACATATGAGAGAACGAATTTTCAGAATAGATTAAGTAGTTTCAGGAGACACCCTTTATAAAAACTTAATAATTTGATTCCCATTGATAACCATTCAATAATAACTTGACCATCTTCAAAAAATTGAATCATTTACAATTTTCAAAAAAAAACTTCTAAAAAGTAGATTTTTTTTCTCTTAGAACCTTTTTCCATTACTGAGCATTTGTAAGGTATCGATAAAATATATTGCTCACACGAATAAAATACATAACATCGATATTATATGGGGGACGTTACCATCTGAATAGCAAAAGAGTAATGTTATTTGCTGCAAATGCATGCAAATGTGACATGTATATATAAGTATCGTTTTGAATTGAATGAATTGGTTACGGCGCCATCTAGCGATGAGTAGCTAAACCCGTTGTAAATTGTTTGATTTAAATTGTTTTAAACGATAGACGCCTTTATTGATTGTGTCATGCGAAATTATAACAACTTTCACTCATTGTTATAAGACTCAATTTTTGACAGCATTAAGATGTTTTGTTAATGTTGCGTTTCAACTTTTTACCCAAGTTTTTTACCAAGATTTGCGAATATGTGAGTTTGGCGACACTGGTTCTCCTTTTGAAAGAGTGTAGGGGCACTTCTACTTAATTTTCTGATTTTCTGTTTTGTGTGTAACTATTACTAGTAGAAGGGAGTGTATTTTTGAATTAAATTTCAATATTATAAGATAATTATGTTTTGAAATCGGAGACGAAAATAAAAATATTATTGAATATTGGAATCCCCATTTCCTTCGTAGGTATTTCAACGGAATTTGTGGCTTGGCGCATGCATGCTACGATACAAATGGGTCGGCTCGACCAGTGTGATACCAGGGCCTCACTAAAGGAGGCGGCGAGAGGAAAGGGCGAGAGGCCTCCTCTCTCCCCTCCCGCAGCAGACGCTCTAGATGTCGTAGAGTGGCCGCCCTGCGGCCAACGTAAGGTGCGGCCTGCGAACGACAGGCTCGGGGCGTCCGCGTCTAGTCGTCCGACCAGCAGTATCGTATTTCCACTAAATTTGTATTGACTAGAACACAAATTGCATTGTACTTTAGTATTATTGTCTATTTTCGAAAAAAACTCCCACGCCACACTTTTCCTGTTTCCTGGAGCCATTCTAAAGTTATTAATCAGACAAACAAAACTTAATAAACTAATAATACCGCAACAAAACAATAAATTACGGACTAAGTAGTAATAACAAAAACGTAAACAAAACAAATATCTAATCTTTTGTGTTAAAACTTTGTCATTTGTTCGCCGAAGACGAGAACTATCTCTTTCACTCGCGGCTCGCGGCTCCGACGACGCGACTACGTTTCGTTGTTCGTGCTGACTCGGGCTCGCTCGGTGTCGTTCGGGCCTAGCGAATCGCGGGCTAGGCGGCGAGCGGGCGGCGGCGTCGAGTCGAGCCGAGCGGCGCGCGGCGGGCTGGCAACCTACCCGCCCCGCTCGCCACCGCGCGCGCTCTTCGGTTCAACCCGAGTTGCAGAAATGCCTCGAAGCGTCCTGCGGTCGGGGTGTCTTCCGCAATCGGTGACGGTGCCCGCCTAACAATCTGGCGGGCCAATAACCTTCGGGTCGGCAACGGTCTGCAGACAGTGCGCAAGCTTGCTGACGGGCCAATACCAGGCCAAGAGCGAAGCGTTCTGCACATGCGCACCTCTTAAAGACCCACATCAGACAACCACAGACGGTCACGACCTGTAACAGAAGAAGGAACCGGGTGGATTGTAGTCAATGAAAGTCTGACACCCCTCTCGCTTCACCCTGACCGTAAAAAGGCATTTGATGATTTCCTCCATAAAAATAACTAGGTACCCCTACAAGCCGACAGACAATTTCTACAGGATAAAATTTAAATACGAAAATTGTTAATTTACAGAGGATTTTAATTTATGAAACGATAGGTGCACCGTGTTGTTATTTGTTCATGAACCTAAAAGTTTTTGTAAATGTGAGTGCCGGTGCCCTGTAACCTATTAATATTAAATTAGTAGAATATAGAAATATAGATACCTACTTGTGTTAGCTTGGAGTTGTCATACTCGGAGGTCTCATTGGCGGTCGATTCCCTTTTTATGGTTGAGTTGGGCAGTGCTGGTGTACTACTGGTTGGGCGGACCAGTCAACTCGAGACTGGCTGAATAATTTGAGGTTATTTTCTTTTTTTGACGCTTTGACTGAATATTAGTGTTCTCACAGTCTGTTTAATAGAACCGACTGTGGGAACGCTAATATTCAGCCAATTGAACGATCTAACAAAAATGAATTGTGAAATTGATTGAAAAAGAGTGCTTAACCATGGAGTTTCTTGCTCGTTCTTTTCCATTGGAATCTACACTTTGAATCGAGTAAACAGTTTCACTAGAGGACAGACCGTGACCGACAGACTGACACACAAACTTTTTGATATTCATTTTTTATTTGACGTTCAAAAGTGCCTTAGTACCTATACCTACTTAACAGTCTGTTTGAAATAAGTGATTTTGACTTTTTTTTTACTTTTGAGGTGACAATAGCGTTCTCAGAAGGATATAGGTATGTATGTAGTTCTCTTCAAAACGGTCCATCAAAAGTAGGTAAAGCAAGATTTAAATTTACCTATGTGTGCATAAGATTCTCGTATTTAGGTACGGTTGACGGACGATACCACGCCCACATTGAAAAAAATAATTCGTTTTCTTTATTTATAAATTTTAAATTTAGAAAACCCCCAACAAAAAGTCTAATATTCCTTTAAAAAGTAATAATTAAAAGATAACGTGGCGTTGGGGACCGATCCATACATTTTATTATCAACTCCATATTTCTATTTTGTCGGGGGTCTAACTTATTTTTTTATTTTTACCCTACCTGACTACATTAAGTAGGTACCTACCTAGCCGAGTGCTCAACTTAGTCGTGTATTAATTCGAGCAGCTGCATGGAGTGCGGAGGGTCAATTACTAGGCTATTATGTGATTCTAGTCCAGGGAGAAACAAAAGAATGAAACGTAATACGTTTAACAATGTAAGCGAGGTTTCGTGCGCTGCAAGTGAGCAGGCGCGTCACGCTGACCGCTCCTCGCGTTTATATAAGCGCGGCCGAAACTGCGCCGCCGCTCAATCTGAATGTGCTGTTTCATGGGTACTCATACACGGTGACTACTCGACATGCCTCACATGGTGACCCGCGAGAAGAGTGACTACGGCAGGAAAGTGCAGGAAAAAGCCGTTATTGAAAAGGTCATACATCACACTGATTTTGTTCATTTATTTATTAAGAAGAGATGAGCGTCTTAGGGGCGTTCTTCGGATTATTCGCGGCTAAAATCTTCAAATTGATTTACTTACATGCGGTACTCAGTTATACTATTTCTAAAGTTTAGCCTAAGTTTCACGCGGCCAGTGGCGGTAATAATAATTACCGTCTCGACTAAATGTATATCGCCCTTGGCGCAGAGGCAGATGGCGATCGAGCGCTGCGCGGCCGCGGCTGCGGCGGCCAGCGAGCGGCCCGCCAGCCCTGTTGGCGGCGCAGGCCCCGCGAGCCCAGCCGCGGCGGGGCCCGCCGCCCCGGGGCCCGCCGTGCCGCAGACGCGGATACTCACCCTGGAGCACGGCGAGCACAACGACTCCACGCTGTACCGGTAACACTGCCTTCTCTACGTAGCTCGATGCACTCAATGAAACGAACAGTGTAAGGCTTAAGCGAAATATTAGTTCATAGAAGGGGTACAATTAAAGGTTGAAAATTTGCCTCGCGGATAAAACCGTTGTGCAGCCTTGGCCTATTTACCATTTCTGAAAAATAGGAGAATAATAACACAGTATTTTCCTCTATGTAGTACCCCATGGAATAAGGGTCATGAAAGGGGTGAACTTGTTCTACGATTGTCTGTATTCATTGTTCCACGTTTTTTTTAGGTTTGAAAAAGGCTGCTATTTACAATTTTGCCCTGGGCCGTCTTTACTTGGGCGAAAAGTTTTTCTCTATACCAACTATGTGATGTCTGATAATCGTAAGTAATTTAAATAATCATATTTAGTTAGTTTACCATAAAATTTGTCATGCTGTCCTCTTCCGAGATTGTGATCGAATACTGCTACTTAGATATCTGCATTATATTAAGAATAACATATTTATTTTACAAACAACTCCTCGATTTGTAAGTAACATGTTTGTTGTGCACATATTTAATATGTACCTTATCTTCCGCATGTTCATATTTTTGTAAATACAATCTACAAGTTATTATATTGCGTGAAAGAAATTAGTACTTAAATAATATTGTTAGGTATTAAAGTAAGTATAGAAAACAATCTAGTATATAGCTACTAGACCACCGTTATGTTTTCATGCATACCAGTAGAAGACGATAAATGCAGTGAGCAAGCAGAGTTCATCCGCAATCAGTACTACGGACTGGAGTGGTACCGCGAGGCCGAGGACGAGGCCGGCCCCGCCCCGGCCCCGCTCGGCACCGGCCTGCTCGTCACCGACACCGACTTCTACTGCCAGCTGCGCCTCGCGCGCGCCGGCTCCTTCCACTACTACTTCGTCTACGACAACGCGTGAGTGTCCGCCCCGCGGCCCCGCGGCCCCGTGGCCCCCCTCTCGCGCGCTGACCGCGGCCCGTCACTTGCAGGGAGTCGGCGGTGGGTCCGCAAGGCTCGGGCTGGTTCCACGTGGCGCCGACGCTGCGCGTGGGCCCCGGCGGGCGCGACGAGATCCCACTGGACGGCATCATGTGCCACACCGTGCTGGCCAAGTGCCTCGGGCCGCTCCCGCGCTGGGAGAGCACGCTGCGGGTGTCGCGCGAGGCGGGCTACAACATGCTGCACTTCACGCCCGTGCAGGAGCTGGGCGCGTCGCGCTCCAGCTACAGCATCGCCAACCAGCTGCGCCTCAACCCGCAGTTCGGGGCCGACGCCGGCCGCGAGCCCACCTTCGCCGACGTCGAGAACGTCGTCTCCAAGCTGCGCACCGAGTGGAAGGTGAGCCTCGAGCGGCCAGAGAGGGCGGCAGGTGAGCGACGCTGACGAGCGACGCGTGCGCAGATGCTGTCCATCTGCGACGTCGTGCTGAACCACACGGCCAACGAGACGCCGTGGCTGGGCGAGCACCCCGAGGCCACGTACAACTGCAGCAACTGCCCGCACCTGCGGCCCGCGGCGCTGCTGGACGCGCTGCTGGCGCGGCTGACGGCCGACGTGGCGCGCGGGGACCTGGAGGCGCGCGGCGTGCCTCGGACGCTGACGACGCCGGCGCAGCTGGACGCGCTGCGCGACCTGCTGCAGCAGCGACTGCCGGACGCGCGCCTGCACGAGATGTACATGTGCAACGCGCCCGACCTCGTGCAGGACTTCTACTTCATGGCGCGCAACAAGTGAGAATTGCCAATAAACCGCTTGTGGAAAACCATTGCTTGTCTGGGATCATCCTATATGATCAGTTTCTTAGTTTTAATTTACATTCAAAGAATAATATGTAAATAATGTGAAGTAGTCGTTACTACTACCTATATACATATATAACGTATTTAATTTTAGAGACAGTTTATTGAATGACTAGCTTCCGCCCACGACTCCGCCCGCGTCGGTTTTTGATAAAAAGCAGCTTATGTTTTAGCCAGGGTATCACCTATCTTCCTACCATATTACAACCAAATCGGCACAGCCGTTTTTGTGTGAAATAATAACAAACAATAGGTACATCAAAGCATTCTCACAAACTTTGAGATGTATAATATTAGTAGGATGCGTAGCTTGTTATAGTTATGCGACGGTTACAGGGTGCCGGCCCCGACGGCGGTGGGCGCGAGCCCGGCGGGCCCCGGCGCGAGCCCGGCGGGTCCCGGCGCGAGCCCGGCGGGCCCCGAGCTGCGCCTGCAGCCGGACCCGCAGTACCGGCGCCTGCGCGCGACCGTGGACATGGACCGCGCACTGCAGCTCTACAACGTGTACAGGCGAGCACAATATTCTCTTTGGCGACGACGCAGACTACTCTAGACTTGGCGTAGAATTGCTTTATCATCATATTAGCCACAAAACGTCGCGGACGGAGACACTTCGCGCGCCGGGAACGGTGCGGCCATCTGTGCCCGCCGTAAGGGAAGTTGGCGCGTCACGTCACGTCACGTAGATATAAAGGTTCTGGAGGCTATGTCACTTGCAACTTTCCTTCATTGACTGATTTCCTCGGAACGTGTATTGGACGAAAATACGTAGTTATCAGAGGGCTATCCGCCCTAGCAGGGTTCGCCCTGGCCTATGCATGTGGCAATACTCCTTCGAGCAAAAAGAAGTTAAAGAACCTCTGAAGGGACTTTCTCTAATTTCCACCTCCTAGTTTGTTTCGAATTATGTCCGGGATATTGTCGCTGGGGTACTGGGCCTGTGTAATCGGTAAACTTTTGCCGGTCTCCCTTATCGGGCTACAACGGCCCGACCCCTTGCACCATTGTTATGAATCTGTGGCTAATCTCGTCCACTCACTCGCAATTCTCCTGATACCTTCTCGAAGCGACTCGACAGCTCGAAACTTATATTTTCATTACTAATAATAGTAGTAAGTAGAAAAATTACTTGCTTTATTGTTTATTTCAATTCGTGATGATTGATATCAGAGCTGAATGTTACGACGAGGAATCGCGGCTCAAGAAATGCTGTGAAGAATTCAAACGCAAGTTGGAGCAACTGAACGAGGCCGCGGCGGACACTCTGCGGGACCATCTGCGCGCCGCCGTCGACAACGTCATCGCCGGGATCAGGTACTCTCTCACTCACTCACTGCTTTACTTGGATCCGTTGGAGTTGGAGGCCTTTTGGGGATTAGGATTTCAGAGATTTAGGCACCATTCACATGGCGACCCCTAGTTATATTAGGTAACTAGCTATGATGCCCGGCTTCGCTTGGGAGTTGTTATTATATCATCTAGGTGGTAGATGTAATAAAAATAAACTATGACATAAAATGTATTTTTTTTTTTTTATATTTACCTACATTTTCTCCAAGCGTGCAAGCACTCGCCAAGCGTGTGGAGAGTTTTAAAAATTGCATTTGGCTCCATACCCACTTTGTGTAATGCAATCACAGCGATTCGGTTCTCTTTATCCCCCCACTCCATTTTAATATCGCAAAATATTGAACAATTTATTGGCGCTAAAATAAGAAAACACGATGAAAAATTATATAAAAATTACAGATTCCAAATTCAAATGTAATATTTTGTTTATTTTTAATTGTAACAGTATTTATGGCCAGACTATGTTTAGCCGTAACAATAGGTGCTGGAGCTGTAGCAGAAGCAGTAAAGGCGCGAAATTGAAAACTTATATTTTTATAATATTTTTGGAAGTAATTTGAATTACTAAAATGCTGTCGCTTGAACTCCATCATGTGAGATAGCCACTGCTGTATAAATACACAACATTTAATCACTTTATTATAGTAACAATTGTTATTTATTGAAATTGGAATTTGAAACTTTCGCGCCCCAAATAATCGGTTTTTTAAGTCGAAAACAGATGGCGCTACTACCCTTACTTTCCAAGTTGAAGGGTTGGAAAAACCCTTATATCTAAAGACACACCCTTTGAGTTAAAATGGGAACTTTCTTGTTCGAGGGAGAATAAAGGGCTATCACACTATATAATTCTTTACTATATCGGGCTGTGTTTACAAGCTTTTGCCCGCGACTTTGTTGGCGTGGAATAGTGACTTAGTGTCTTTATATAAGGGTACCATGTTCCCATTGATATTATTGAGACTCACTACTTGAAGCTCATCGTAACTCAGTCTGCGAGCGAGCGTGGCCGGACTATGGACAATATTGCCCATTATGTGAGATGCGGACCGACTAAATGACCCGGATGTTACTTTTCAGATATTATCGATTACAGTCAGACGGACCGAAGATCGAAGAGGTCAGCGCCAAACACCCGCTGGTACCCAGGTGAGCGAACCTTCTCCGGCAGACGCAGGTCGCGGCGCCGCCAGGCTAACGCTTGCTGACCCCGTCCCCGCGCAGGTACTTCACGTGGGCCTGCAGCGTGGAGACCAGCTCGCTGGCGGAGGTGGAGGCGGCGCTGTACTCCGACGCGGGCCGCCACTGCATGGCGCACAACGGGTGGGTCATGGACGCCGACCCGCTGCAGGACTTCGCCGCCCGCGCCGCCGCCGCGCGCGTCTACCTGCGCCGCGAGCTCATCGCCTGGGGCGACTCCGTCAAGCTGCGCTACGGGGACAAGCCCGAGGACAGCCCCTTCCTGTGGGCCCACATGCGCGAGTACGTCGAGCTCACGGCCGAGGTCTTCGACGGCCTGCGCCTCGACAACTGCCACTCCACGCCGCTGCACGTACGTATCTACCGGCCGGGCCCCGTCTGGGCCGGGCCCCGGACCGCCCGGGCCGCGCCGGGCCCCGCCTGACCGCGCCGTGTGTAGGTGGCGGAGTACATGCTGGACTGCGCCCGCAACGTCAAGCCGGACCTGTACGTCGTGGCCGAGCTCTTCACCAACTCCGACCACGTCGACAACATCTTCGTCAACCGACTGGGCATCACGTCGCTCATCCGTGGTATGTCGCATTCACATAGCTTCTCTTTGATCAAATACAGACTTCATCTTCAAATGTTTACACGCGTTACCCAGATAAAAGACGGTCTAAGTGATATTTATTTTCAGTGTTATAAAAACCATATTATGACAACTGCAAACTTTGTTTTGGTAAAGGGTCGGTATAGAAAATAGTTCTATTGAAATGCTTTAAGTCGAGGACACAGTCAGATAAACCAAAAACAGAAGAATATACTGGATACCACGGTTGTGTAAATATGAATAAAACCGATGTTTTGGATCGCTCGGCAAGTTTGAACATAGGCTCTGCTCAAACATTGTCAGTGGGTAGTTAAGGGTCGATGAGGAGGAGTATGATGTCCGCGCAGAGACGCTGAGCGCGTGGGACGCGCACGAGCAGGGCCGGCTGCTGCACCGGTTCGGCGCGCGCCCCGTCGGCGCCTTCCTGCGGGCGCCGCGCTGCGCGGCCGCGCCCGGAGTGGCGCACGCCATGCTCATGGACCAGACGCACGACAACCCCACGCCGCTGCGCGCGCGCTGCGTGTTCGACGTGCTGGCCGGCGCCGCGCTGCTGGGCGCCGCCGCCTGCGCCGCGGGCTCCACGCGCGGCCTGGACGAGCTCGTGCCGCACGCCGTGCACGTCGTGGACGAGGCGCGCCTCTACGCCGACTGGGGCGAGCCCGAGTCCGACCGCCCGCGCGTGGGCGCCGCCACCGGCGTACTGGCGGCGCGTCGCGCGCTCTGCGACCTGCACGCCTGGCTGGCGCGCGCCGGCTACTGCGAGCTGTTCGTGGACCAGCTGGACGCCGACGTGCTGGCCGTGACGCGCCACGACCCCGTGTCGCGCCGCTCCGTCGTCGTCGTCGCCTTCACCTGCTTCAAGGCGCCTTCGGGCGCGCGCGCGCCGCCCCCGCTGCGCTTCGAGGGGGACCTGGAGGAGATCGTGCTCGAGGCCTGTCTGCGCCACGTCGACTACAAGTACCCACCCTTCTTTGTCGATCTCGACTTGTAAGCCGACTCTTCGGCGCCTTAGGGAAAAGCAGTAGGCGTAGCAGCAGTATTGTTAGCGCTGAAGTTAAACTAAATATTGATCAATAACAACTCTAGAGTCGGTAGCTAAATCCTCTGTGACATATAATGAAATAGTAGCGGACCTAAACTAATGGTAGAAGGATCGACATAATATGAAATGTCTCTTGAGGTAATACAGATTTTCTTCAGCGGTACCATTAGGCGTGGAATAACAGGGCACGACTCCACAGGTCTGAGGGCGACCCGCTGCGACTGCCGGGCCCCTTCAGCCCGCACCCGCGCATCATCTCGGGGCTGACGGAGTACGAGTGCAGCGTCCGGCGCGGCCTGGCGCTGGCGCAGTCGCAGGTGTTCGCGGGCGCGCGGCAGGACGGCGCCTACACCGAGCTGGCCTTCCGCGACATCTTGCCCGGCACCGTCGCCGCGCTGCGCATCGCGCCCCGCGCCCCGCAGCGCGCCGCGCTGGCCGCGCTGCAGCGCTCGCTGGCGTCGCCCGCCGCGCTTGGGCTGGCGCCGGCGCTGGCCGAGCTGGACCTGGTGGAGCTGAACGCGCTGCTGTACCGCTGCGACGCCGAGGAGCGCGAGGCGGGCGGCGGCGGCGTGTACGACGTGCCGGGCCACGGGCCGCTGGCCTACGCCGGCCTGCAGGGCGCCGCCGCGCTGCTGGCCCGGCTGGCGCCGGCCGACGACCTGGGCCACGCGCTCTGCGCCAACCTGCGCGCCGGCGACTGGCTGGCCGACTACACGTGGCGCCGCCTGGACGCCGCGCCGCGCCTGCAGCCCGTCGCCGCCCGCGTCCGCGCGCTGCTGCAGCCGCTGGCGGCGCTGCCCCGCTTCCTGCAGCCCGCCTACTTCGAGGCGCTGCTGTCGGCCGTGTACCGCGAGGCCACGCGCGCGGCGCTGGCGCGGCTGAGGTCGCCGCGCGGCGCCTTCGGCCGCGCGCTGGCGCTGACCAGCGTGCAGCTGGTGGGCGCGGTGCCGTCGGCGCCGCTGCCGGCCTGCTCGCCGGCGCTGGCGCCGCCGCGCGCCGCGCTGGCCTCCATGTCGGCGGGGCTGCCCCACTTCGCGGTGGGCTACATGCGCTGCTGGGGCCGCGACACCTTCGTGGCGCTCCGCGGCCTGCTCCTACTCACGGGCCGCTACCAGGTAAGGACCCGCCGCGTACTGGCGCCGCGTGTACTGAGTGAGGAGTGTGAGTGACCGTACGTGCTTGTGCAGGACGCGCGCATGCACATCCTGGGGTTCGCGGCGTGTCTGCGGCACGGGCTCATCCCCAACCTGCTGGACGCCGGCCGCAACGCCCGGTACAACTGCCGCGACGCCGTCTGGTGGTGGCTGCAGAGCATCAAACAGGTAGGTGGCGGGGCGGGGCGGGGCAGGGCGGGGCGCGGCGCGGGGCGGCGCGGCGACTGACGGGGGGCGTGTTGCAGTACTGCAGCGAGGCGCCGGGCGGCGGCGCGCTGCTGGCGGAGCCGGTGTCGCGGCTGTTCCCGCAGGACGACGCGGACGCGGCGCCGCCGGGGGCCGCCGACCAGCCGCTGCACGACGTCATGCAGGAGGCCCTCGACGTGCACTTCCAGGTGACTCTACTAACAGATGAAAGCACCTTCCTCCATAATGCACCTCTCATAAAACCAGTTCTAATGACTCTTGTCGTGGCAGGGACTCGTATTCCGAGAGCGTAACGCCGGCCGTACGATCGACGCTCACATGTCGGACAAAGGCTTCAACGTGCAGATCGGGATCGATCCCGAGACCGGCTTCCCGTTCGGGGGCAACGACTCGAACTGCGGGACCTGGATGGACAAAATGGGGTCCTCCGAGCCTGCCGGCAACCGAGGCAAGCCGGCCACGCCGCGCGACGGCTCGGCCGTGGAGCTGGTGGGGCTGGCGTACAGCGTGCTGTCCTGGCTGGCCGGCCAGCACCGCGCCGCGCGGTACCCCTACCCCGGCGTCGTCCGCAGGCACCGCGACGGCAGCCTCACGTCCTGGACCTTCGCGCAGTGGGCCGAGCGCATCAAGCACAACTTCGAGCGCTACTTCTGGATCCCCGTCGCGCCCTCCGCCGCCGACCTGCGCCCCGACCTCGTGCATCGCCGCGGCATCTACAAGGACAGCCACGGAGCCTCGCGCCCCTGGGCCGACTACCAGCTACGCTGCAACTTCCCCATCGCCATGGTGGTCGCGCCCGAGCTATTCGATCCCAAACACGCTTGGCTGGCGCTTGACGCCGTGGAGAAACTGCTACTGGGACCGCTCGGAGTCAAGACGCTGGATCCCGCCGACTGGGCGTACCGCGGAGACTACGACAACTCGAATAACTCCGACGACCCCAGCGTCGCGCACGGATTCAACTACCACCAGGGGCCCGAGTGGGTGTGGCCCCTGGGTTTCTACTTGCGCGCGCGCCTCGCCTTCGCCCAGCAGGCGGGGCGCCACGCCCGCACGCTGGCGTCCTGCTACGCGGCGCTGGCGCCCCTCCTGGCCGAGCTGCGCACGTCCCCCTGGCGCGGCCTGCCCGAGCTCACCAACGCGGGCGGCGCCGTCTGCCACCACTCCTGTCGCACGCAGGCCTGGAGCTCCGCCTGCGTGCTCGAGGCCCTGCACGACCTGCAGCAGGCCGCGCTCGCGCGCCCCCTACCCGCCGACTGACGAGCGCGTCGCCTGCGCCACGCCCCCGCCCTGTACGCCACGCCCTACGAGCCCGCGCGGCGCCGGCCGCTGGCCGCGCTGCGCCGCCTGCTGCGCCGCGGGCGGGCGGTGCGGTCGTTCTACAACGTACTGCAGCCGCGCCGCGGGCAGCTGGCCACCGTGGTGTACAGCGACCGCTACTTCCGCTACGGCCTGCCGCTGCTGGCGCGGCCGGCGCCCGCGCGCCTGCTCGTGGCCGACCTGCTGGGCGCCGGCGCCACGGCCGAGCGCGCCCGCCCCACCCGCGCCCACGTCATGCCGCTGCGCAGCGCCGCGCCGCGCCCCGCGCCGCGCGCTCTGCTGCAGCTGGCGCCGCGCCCGGCCCCGCCCCCGCCGCGCCCCGCGCCGCCCGCCCGCCCGCAGCGCCTGCTGCGGCTGTGCGACACGCAGCGCTTCCAGGGGACCGCGCCAGAGTGGGCGGGGCCGGCCGCGCTGTGCCGCCGTGCGCTGGACTACCGCCAGGGTGCGGCCGGGCTGTGGCCGCGGGTGGGCGGGGCCCCGGGCTCGCGGCCGCCGGCGCCGCTGCCCGAGGCGGAGCCCGACCGCTGCACGCGGCCACAGTTCGCGCTGGACGAAGCGGAGGGAGCGGAGGCGGGGCCGGAGGCGGGGCGGTCGCGCGCGTACTCGCTGTACGAGCGGCTGTCGAAGGCGTCGGCGCGGCTTAGCGCGAACCTGGCGCCGGCGACGCCGGAGGGCGACAAGGCGAGCTCGATGGCGCTGGCGCGCAAAGTGCTGAATACGGAACGCTACAACAACGGCGCGCGCGCAGTCTGGCGCGGCTCGCGCGGCTCCCGGGGCTCCGCCCCCGGGGCGGGCTGGGGCGGGGCGCGAGGCTCGCGCGGCGCGCGGCAGTTGCGCGCGACGATCCGCGCGATGTTGGCGTTTAGCAGTCTCTTCTATGCGCTCTCGTTCCTCGCATTCTACTTCCTGAGTCTACCGTAGGAAAATGCTATTTTATATTCGAGTGCCATAATATTAACGTTAGACATTATCTTCCAATAAAACCCTTGTTATGTACTGTTAGAGTTATATACTGATTGCTATGTAATAATTTGCGGGCTAGAAGTAAATTACTACTACCTCTAAGTTGTTAATTCGTTAAAAAAGTAATGTATGCTACTTGTTTAATAATTATATTTATAACTTGTTATAGACTAACAATATTTAATATATTATAAGGTTTGTAAAATTAATGGTTTTATTTGCATTGTTGTTGTACCGCTTTCAAGGTGTGCAAAATGGTATACTGGAATACGGTACTCCTGCATGTTCACCGAATTACAAAGTGCACATTGACGAAATTGAACGCATTCAGAGAAAATTCCTTAGAATCCTAAATTACCGCATAAAACCTGGCGAATCAAGTTAAATTTATCCAGATAGACTGCTAAAATTGAATGTTCAGCCATTAGAAACAAGGCGCATAATTTTCGACTTAAGTAGTTTATCTTTATAAAATTACCCACTCTATTATAGATTCCCCTGAATTACTCTCACACATAAGTTTTAACATTACATTTAGTGCCCGTAGATCAAACGAAATTAATCTCTTCGCTTTACAAATTTACAAGCACAATATATCTTTCTATAACCGTATAATAGACCAGGGCCTTCAAAAATAATCAAAAAAATTATAATAGAATGAAACCCATAAGAAAAAGAGGGAATTGATAAAAATGAAAGGAAAAATAATATACGGGCGATCTGAGGTTAGGAAGGGGGTGGGGGGGAGGTTTTAAGGGTAAAAACGGTTTTTCTCGATTTCCGGCAAAAGTAAAAGTCCTATCGAAAAAAGTCAAATGGAAAAGTTGTAGATAATAAAAAGATCTAACTAAAACTTTTGTATTTACACTTTTTTCTCATAACCTCAAAATTTATGTGAAAAATTCAAAAAACTAAGTTTTTGGTTTTTTATTTTTATCTTTTACAACAATTTTATTTATTTAACGAAATTTTGTGAAAACTTACCTTTTTATGTCCCAAAACGCTGTAATTTATTTGATTAAAAATATTAATTTTTTCACCTTATTTTGAATTAATATCGAAAAATACCCCCTAATTTTCAATCGTTAAATTATTAGCTTTTTTCAAAAAGTTACTATAGCATCTACGAATATAATTTAAAGAAAATTAGACAACTTCCTCCAAATATTGTAGATGTCTTATTATATATAAATTTAATTAACTTATTTGTTTTTTTATCAACGTCACATTGTGTAATCTAAAGTTTTTCGAGTAATTATAGTCAACATTTTAATAAATAGCTCAAAATTATTTATAATAAAAAAAAAAATTCGAATTCAAGTTTTTTTTAAATTTTTGCGTTTTCTGAGAAGATTTACCATAGTAACTAAAAAATATTTTTTTTTTCACCATCGGAAAGTAGAGATTTCAACGAACAGAAACCATACCAACTTTTTTAAAAAAGCTGATATTTTGACTGGTGAATTTTCGATTGAAAATTAGGGTGTTTTTTCGATATTAATTTAAAATAAGGTGAAAAATAAATATTTTTAATCAAATAAATTACAGCGTATTTGGGACATAAAAAGGTAAGTTTTCACAAAATTTCGTTAAAAAAATAAAATTTTTGTAGAAGATAAAAATTAAAAACTAAAAACTTGGTTTTTTGAATTTTTCACATAAATGAGGTTATGTGAAAAAAGTGTAAATACAAAAGTTTTAGTTAGATCTTTTTATTATCTACAACTTTTCCATTCGACTTTTTTCGATAGGACTTTTACTTTTGCCGGAAATCGAGAAAAACCGTTTTTACCCTTGAACCTTTTGTTGAGAGGCACCAGTGTTGACACACGTCACTTATATGTTTTTTAGGTAACACTTCTTGTATCTTTTTGTCCCTTTTTGAGCTTTTTAAATATTTAATTCACCGATTATTCGGGTATTATTTATATACTTTTGCATGTTTTTTGAGTAGGCTTTTTAAAAAGCTACAACTTGCCGATGGTCGAACTCGACCTGATGATGGGGCCGGAAGACAGTCGAGGGATCTCCTTGATTATTTGGTTTAGTTACCTTGTGTTTGGGCTTGAATGATTCGTATTGGTCAGCACTTTGCACCAAGATTGGTCGTGACTGTCATTAGGGGTCTGATGATGAGAACGAAGGACAGCTCAGGGAACTCCTGAACCTTGTGGTTTACAATGAAGTTGTGAGTAAATCTAATGATGGAGCAGGAAGACTGTCGTGGGATCTGTCTGACTATTTGGAGTAATTATGTTGTGCTTGGACTTAATTCATTTATATGAGAACTTTGCACCTATATGAATTATGTAAGTATATTGAAGGTCTAATATACAAACATGACGATGGAGATCATTGGCAGTCGAGGGCATTCCTCAACGATTTACAGCTAAACTAAATGAACACTAAATAACTCAGGACTACTACTATCACCGTGATTTTCGGTCTCAAATAGCCGTCGTCTTCTCATTCGAAAGCCATTCTACTTGCTTGCTCTGCCTACTACACTCAAAATTGTGAAATAAATATTTTTTATCAAAAATATTCCGATTCCTAAAAGTAAACTAAAAAGCAAAAAAAAAATTCTTTTATTAAAAATCGCGGGTTACTCACGTGTCTATTTTGAGAAAAGCTCTACTAGTTTCGAACCACAGAGGGGTTCTTCCTCATGAGCAGCATGCGCGGATCCGGCAACGTCGCGTAGTCTAAGTAGGCTCCGCGACGTCGCACTACTAATATACCCTAATATAGTTTTGACCGACTTAAAAAGTCGGTCAAACAAAAGGTCGGTTACAAATACTACTTAATTTATTACTTATTTAATTGATTGTACTTTTCAAGCGATTACTGGCTAGTTTTTAAACTACTTACAGATTTTTACATGGCTTCACAATAGCCATGAATTGATAGTCGAGCCAGAAATTAAACATAATCTCCCTGGAATGGAAGCACAGCTTTCTATCACACTGCACTTTTATTATGCTAAATTTACTAAAAATGAAATTGGAATTAAATTGATTTAATCAATTCATTTCTCTACAAAAAATAACAGAATGATAATTTACGACCATGCATAATTTTTTATTTTTTTTCCCCGAAATTTTGTAATTTTCGTGTAATTGGCAACAACAGATTTATGTTTGTGTGTGTCTCATCACATGCAGTCGCCATTGTGCCTTGCTGCGATGTAGGTACTGTTTGTGTAGGTACCGCGAGCGTGTGTCGGAACGGATCGCTCGCGCATTCGGCTTAAAAGTTTTGTTGTAAGTAGTGTTGTTAAGTTTTATTAGTTATAGGAAGTGTAGTGAAGTTTTGTTGTAGAAATTGTGCGAAATTACTACCTAGGTACGTTTAGCGCGCGTGATTATGGGGAGATGATAATGTGTAGTCGTGTAGGTATCCTGACCGTCGGCATCCATCAGACTCCAGGATAATTACTGGTGCCTATCAACGCTTGCTAGAAAACCAGCCCATTGTTCCCAGACAAAAAGGCGCCGGGAGACCAATACGTACTACGTGGATTTTGGAATTGGTTCGCTAACGTAACGAGACGCTACCACTTACCAGTGCTTTCCTATTTAAACGTAGTTTAGGTAGGTTTGGACCGCAACCGTGGCCAGCACGATCGCCAGACCTAACCCATTTGGACCCCTTTTTGTGGGGTTACGTAAAAGAAAAAGTGTTTGTGAGTGCGTGTGGAAATGAGTATGAAATGCGAGACCGCATCACAAATGCTTTCCAGAGCCGGAAACCAGAGCGATTCTAAGGAACGCATTTTTCTTTTTTATCATTTATCAGTTACCATGTTATGATTGTTAGATTTTCTTTTGTAAGTAATGCGGCTATCTTTTAAATAATAATTTATTGTTATTAAAACGTAGCGCGAGCGCGATCGTTTGTCCGAAAGGTAAGGACGCGGCGCTGCCCATAGTGATAAGTAATAATACTAAAAGCGCTGCCGTTCGCTGAGTGTGTTTGCGGTGGTAGCGATACATTGCGTGTAAGGTAATGAAACAAATCGGTTTAATTGGATTCCCATAACGTTACTGAAATAATTTCATGTACCGTCAACTTAAGACGATATACTGAATCCACCCTATCAGTTTGCGGAAGGCTGTCCCTTACACCCTGTATTAGGCCTTTATCATGTCAGTGTTTAAAAAAAACATTTAATAAAAAATATTGGATTTATTAGTGAAAATACAATTAAAAAAATCATTAGAAAAAAAAACAGAAAAAAATTACAAAAAAAACTTCAAGAGTATATTTATTACAGTTACATTACAAATCATTCGGAATCGCTATGTTCAGATTCAATAAAAAGATCCTCACCATCTTCGACAATATTCTCATTTGAGATGTTTAGCTTCGGTGTGGCCGCAATTAAAATATTCTTTGACTCATCCGAAAATGGTATGCTTTTCTTTGTATTTTTTAGACGACTACAACTGATAAAAGGGTCAGATAACAATCTATTTAATATATCTCTGTTGCATTCAGTTCTTGAAAATTTTCTTGCAAAGTCCACCCGATATTTTCTAAAATGTTTATTTCGTGCTTCAGAGGCCTCCTCAGATAATTGCCCAATTGGCAGAATAGCCTCTGCTATCACCTGCGCACCGTGCATAAGTATTTTATGCACTGTTGGCGACATAGGATGCCAGCCGTATAATTCAACATAGAGTTTGGCAGTGTCTTGGGCATAATCATCAAATTTCTGGTGATCAATCTCATGGCCACTTGATATCACCTCAAGTATCACTTTAAATCTATTTATTAAATTTAGGTCGATGCCGGTAATACGGGAAGAGCATTCTGCACTTTAGAAAAATCTCCTAGATGTATTGCCATCATTCGTATTTACGAAGCCAGGTTTAGGTACATCAACAAGCAGGCCCATTTCTTCTTTGAAACGTTTTTGTATTTTCTCTTTTGTTTCTTTAACTACTTTTTTCTCTTCTGGTGTACGGGCTTGCCACTTCTTCAATTGTTCTTTATATGCCACATGCAACAGTGACTCAAAATTTTTCTTAATCTAGCTTAGAAATTATACAATTGGTTCCAGTTTACAATTTATGCTTTTATTGCTTAGTTACGGGCTGTAGGGTTGGATGAATGAATGAACGGGGAGGGGGGTGTTCAGTTTTGAGGCGGGTGCCCTTTACCGACCAGGGATTTCACCAGATGGAGCATCTCCTCGATGATGGGCGCGTCTCGGTGTTTCATGGCCGTCTTAAG